CCAACTTCCCCACCGCCGCCCTGCCCATCAGTTCCACATAAATGCTGTCTTCTTCAGACACTTGGGGTCTGCCTTCCTGGGGGCCCCTGACTGATGCAGGAGGCTCCAGAAGGCCCAGGTGGGCTGGAAGTGCTGATCTGAAGGGTCCAGCAGACGTCTACGTTCCTGTAGCTTTAACTGCCTTTTCTGCGTATTGACGTGACATTCACGTGTGAGCATGCTCCCCGGGGCTGAGAAAACGCGGCCTCTTGTCTGTGGCTCCTACCTGCCATTCTCCCGTCTGCGCTGAACCTTATCTTGGCTTCTTTGTGCTCTTTCGCAGGAACGTTCTGGCTGAGTCAGCAAGGATCGCCCGTGGCAAGATCACTGACCTGGCCCAGCTAAGTGCAGCCAACCATGATGCCGCCATCTTTCCTGGGGGCTTTGGAGCTGCCAAAAACCTGTGAGTGTTTGAGCTTGGGGCCTTGTGCTTTTTGCCTGGAGCAGTAGATGGGGACCAGGTGGCGACATGAGCCACTGCTGAGGTCTCGGGTCCAAACGATGCAAGTAGCTGCTCTGACAGAACCAATGCAGGATGGGCTCAGGTCACATTTTGGCAAGACTTGAATTTTCCTCGACCTGCTCCTTTCCGAGCCCTCCTGGCACCTAGCCGCTGTTGTGGGTGTGACTTCTCTGACCTAACCTCTGTGCAGGTGTCTGTTCCTGCAGGCGCCCACGCTCCTGTGGGCCGTGTGGCTCAGAAAAGTGTTTTTTTTTCTGGTCACCTGACTGTCCTGACTGGAGCCCTTGGGTCGTTGCCACGGCAGCTGCCTGGGAGCCTGGGAGGCCGTCACAATGACGTCCTTGGGGTTTCAGGTCCTCTTTCTCTTCCCTCCTTCCTTGTTTCTGAGTTTCATGGAAATTGTCTGCACTGGCCTCTGTCCCAGGACCTGTCTCCTGTGGTGCGCAGGGGGGTTCACGTCACAGCTGTGTGAACACGCAGTGTAGTGTGTGTGACACCCTGACTCTGTGCGTTTGATGGAAACAGCAGATCAGCATATAGGCCCCGGACGGAGCATTTTTCTGTGTCACTTAGAAGAACGTTCCTTCCCAAGCCCGGGGTCTGTGATGAAACCACCTAACTGTGACCGCAGGCAGCCAGCCCAGGGCTTGCCTTCCCGCTGACTAGCTCATTCCTGGGGCTCTGCAGCTGCCTTGCTCCCCACCCTCGGCTGACAGCGCTTGCCCGTGTAGCGCTCCAGGAATCACCACTTCCTCTGGTTGCTCTCTCCTCGTCCCCTTAGCTCCTGGACTGAGTGGGTGCTGCTCTCCCACAGCCCTTCCAGGCCCACCCCTTTGGGTCCTCGCCGTGCTGTTCACACCTCCTTTTGCAGGTGTCTACCTAGGTGCTCCCTCCTAGGTGCTCCCTCCTATGTGACTTTCTGGGTGCTGTTGGGTCTGGCCTGATCGCTGGGCCCAGTGGTCCTTTGTGTACTCCTTCATGGAGTCTCCGCCTCCCTCCTGCGGCCCCTTCCCATTCTCCCCATGAATTGCATTCACATGTTGCCTCGCTGCCGTCATGTTTGGACTGCAAACCTCCCCCTACCGGCCCACATTCCCGGCTGCCTGTCCCAGAGTCCTGTGGGAACATCTTGCTGATCTTGAGAGCTGACTCCCTCACCTGTACTCACCTGTCATCAGAGTCAGCGAGAGGGGAGATGGGGCAGGGGAACCTTCAAGCCTCAGCCAGGGTCCTTGCTCATTATCCCCCACCACGCTGTTGGGACAGTTGACCCCTATGCTGGCTCTGTCCGTCTGGGCGTACTGCACCCAGAAGTGATGGGCAGAGGTGGTATGTCCCCTAAAGTCTGACTCTGCTCAAGGCCACTCCTGATGCCTCCAGATCCAGCCCCTGCAAGGCTGCTTTTCTGCCGGGAGGAAGCCCTGTCCCTGCCCCACACCCACTCCCTGTCCCCAGAACCAGCCATTCAAGTGGCTTCCCCATGTCGCCCTCTTCACGAGCTTCCTGGTAGGAGATGGCAGAGAACTGTCTGGATCAGCAAGGCTTGTCACTGCGACAGGACCAGGATTTCCTTCTCAGGAATGTGAGCTGGCTTCACAAACCACTGGCCTTCCCTCTGACCGTTAGCACCACCCCTGGGCGTGTCCCCAGCACGGCTGACACCATACCTGGTTGGCTTAGGAGCTCAGACAGGAGGTGCACCTGGTTCTTGGTGTGTCTGTGTCTCGGTGTTAAGGGGGTTTTGGGGTACCTTGGGCCAGCATGCACTTCTGGCGGTGGCCCCATGCTTTCCTGCCTTCCCAGAAGAAAGGCCACTCCTACATCAGCGGTTTCCTACGCGGTGGCTGCTGTGGTCATTTGGGTGCAGCACGTGGCAGCAGGCGAGTTCAGTGGTGACAGAAGTCACTCGGTTCCTCCTGGTGGGACCCCGGCCCCCTCCCTGGCACTGTTACTAGCTTTTGTGTGTATTTCCTGAGATGTTCACATATGTGGTTGTGTTAAAATTCTAACCAGATGGTAGCCTCGTAACTGTGTGGCTTATTGGTCCGTTAATAGTCTAACAGCTGCAAACATCCCACTGGGTGGATGACCCGACTTTGGTAGGTGCTCATGATGTCCAGTCCTCTTTTCTTCTAACAGTGTTTTGGCGGCACAGGTGACATGCATATTTTAAATGATGCATTTTGACGTGTCAGGAGAGTGACCACCCGTCAGTCCTTTGTGCCAACGCCATGCAGGTGTGTAGGATGGAGGAGTGGGACCCACAGACGGAACACAGGGAAGCCCAGCGTGTGGCTCTTGGCAAAGAGGGTGCACTTTGAAATTCGACAGGTCTCTCCTGGTTGCCTTCCATAGAGATGGCACAGGCAGGGCACACCCACCACCTGGGAGGGCAGCCTATTCCAGACCCTGACCCACTCCTGCTCTGCAGAAAAAGACGGTGTCTTGTTTAATTTGCATTCCTTTCCCTTGCTAGTCAGGTGGAGCACCTGTCACTGGCTTTAGGCCAGTGCAGACCTCCGAGCACCAGGTGGTGTGGCTCGCAGTCCGAGGCTTCAGCTAGCTCTGGGTCTGCTTTTCCCACCTCACCTCTGCTGCCCCACTTCCCTCCTTCCACTTTCCATACTGTTTTCTCTTTAAAAACAAAACAAACAAAAATATACAGTGATAATGAGAGGTCACGTGTGTACATGTGCACACTCACAGGCTAATCATTTCCATTGCTGAGGAATCCATGGAACCACGTGTCGGATCTCAGTGCGGCAAATAGCCAGGGGCTCTGAGATGTAAGGCAGCCTGTTCTCACTGCAGGAGCACATTCGCCGTGGACGGCAAAGACTGCAAAGTCAACAAAGACGTGGAGCGCGTCCTGAAGGACTTCCACAAGGCGGGGAAGCCCATCGGGTAGGTTCTGCTGGCCCAGGAGCAGGCCTGGGGGCAGGAGGGCCTCTGGTGCCTGGCGGTGGTGGGGAGGGCAGGGGGCCTGGACCGGGGGCTCGTAACTGGGCGCTGCCACTCTGAGCTGCATGGTCTTGAAAACTTGGCCCGTTTCCTCGTTTTATCTGAGGGATTTCACAGGTGCCTTCCAGCTCTGAAAATTCTGTAGTCTTGTGGTTACATTAGTTTCTCCTGATGACTTAACAGGAAGGAGAAGGGGTGATTGTCAGGTTCCAGAATGTTCCCCCGTCAGTCCTTCCCTGACCACCATCCTTTCCCAGCATCCCTGCCCCTTGCCTGGCCGCCATCCGCCCTCCTGTCCTTGCTCAGCTAGTTAGCCCTTGTCTTCCACTCTCACTGCTGCTGTGCGCACTGTTCCTGCCACCATGTCATCCTCAACTGCCCTCTTCCTTGTGGAGCCTAAATCCCGAGGCCGGCCGCACACTAGGGTCCCCTTCTCTGCACCCCGAAACTCATCAGCACAACTATGGCTCATGTCACAGCCCCTGGTCCTTGGTCTTGACGGCAGGTGAGGCTGGCCATACCTGCAACCAGGAGGGGCGCCGAAACGTGTGATGGCGACCCAGTTATAAGACCTGATTTCATCAGACTTTCGTGTCCACAGTGTCCCAGTGGCTGCTTCTCACTCCTGCTGCGTGGTTTGTCCGCGTCAGTGAGCCGGAGCGCGAGCATCTCCCGCCTTTGGAGCCGGCCACTGGGAGACGGCTTGGCAGGAGCACAGTGCACACACTACGAACAAATTCGCGGGATGCAAACCTGAGGCCGCTCCTGGCTCCCATGGGTGCTGCTTGCTACCGCGTTACTGGTGAACCTAAAAAGAGCAGCTTATGTTACCCCTTCATCCCAGTGGGAGACAGGCTGCTCAGGAGAGTCCCCGCCGACAGCGGCCGTCCCGCAGCCCTGCAGCACCACCAGTGCCAGCCTAGGGTGCAAGCCTGGGGGCGGTCTGCATGTGCCGCCTGCCCACCTCCTAGACTGGACCTGTGAGCAGGCTGATGCCATCCACGCTGCACATCTCCCCTCAGCTGCAGAGGCTCCGCCTCCCTGACTCTGTCTCCTTCGCCTTTCAGCTTGTGCTGCATCGCTCCTGTCCTCGCGGCCAAAGTGCTCCCTGGCGTCGAGGTCACCGTGGGCCACGAGCAGGAGGAAGGTGGCAAGTGGCCTTATGCCGGGACCGCGGAAGCCATCAAAGCCATGGGTGCCAAGCACTGTGTGAAGGGAGTGACCATATCCTTTCCAGCAGCTGGGGACCCATGTGGCGAGGGGTCTCCCTCTTCTGTGGCTGGGCAAGCGATGTCTCCAGCCAGAAACTGTGCCGAGCACCGTGGGCGTAGAGAGCCTCGGGCAAAGGCGGGTCCCGCCCCGGGTCTGCACCTGGACCTGGAGGATGTCCTGGAGATGACCACGTCACCTCTGGGCGCCTGCCTGTGCTGAAGGTGGCTTCATCCTTAGTGTCTTTATGAGCAGTGAGTTTCAGGTGTCCCCCGCCCCCATCCCCCAGCGCAGAGCAGCCAGCAGACCCGTGGCCGGTCGGAAGGAGCCCGGCTGGCCCGGGGTTCTGTGTAGTCCAGGGCAGATGGGGCGAGGCCAGTTCTGTCACCTCCAGGGTCTGCGTGAGCTGGGTGGGGAGGTGGGTCCCAGGTGGAATTGGCCTCTGCTCTGCTGTTGCTGGCACGCAGGTGAGTGCTCTTAGTCTTCTTGATCTGAAAAGCGGAGGTGCTACTGCCGCCTTCAGGGTTGTGGGTACCAAGGGGCACTCTGCTGTACAGAGTCATGAGGCCGACATGGTCGCTGAGGTGCAAGCTGCCTTCTTCCTCTTGGGAGCGTGCTGGTCACGTTCTCGTGTAGTTCAGCCGCACAGATTGTGCAGAAGTGGCCCTGCCAGCAGATTCCTCTGGGAAGAATGTCCCCCCACACCCCAGTCACCTTGGGAAGGACGGGACACTTGTTCTGAGGGCAGCTGGGAGCAGTGGCCGGGACGTGCTTTGCGCCTAAAACTTCCCCTCATCCTTACTGGATAGTGTTTCCCTAACTTCTGTCCACGAAGCTCACGTGGACCAGAAAAACAAGGTGGTCACGACCCCAGCCTTCATGTGTGAGACGGCGCTCCACCACATCCACGACGGGATCGGGGCCATGGTGACGAAGGTGCTGGAGCTTGCCAGGAAGTGAGCCGCCAGCTCTGGCTTCGCCTCTTCCACCAGGCGGAGCTGGCGGCCTGTTGTCCTGTCCAGCTTGGAATATGACACACGGGGTCGGATAATTGGGGTGAGAGTCGTCATCAGCTCTGCTCAGCTCACCTTCCTTCCAAGAGCGGAGCGAGGCAGAGCCCACGCCCTGGAGAGGTGGCTGGAGTCCCCCGCCTGTAGGAGTAGCAACTGGACACCTAGTGCCTCCCAGAATGACAGTCAGCTTTCTCACGAAGCCAGTCAGGTAGAGGTATTGTCTAACCTCAGGTTTGCCTGGCTTCAGAATACTTAGTGTTTGGAAAGGAAAATAATTTTAAGTTTATAAATGTAATAATCAGAAAACCTGAAACATGGTTATTAACAATTAAAGATTCTCTAATCTGGAGTAAACATGGACTCATTGAAATGTTGTTGGGATTTCTGTGGCAGGCAGCCGCGTGTCAGGTCTTCTGAAATGGGCAAATGAGGAATGTAAATGAGGGTTTTTAATTA